ATTTTTAAGATATTTGGATGTTGCATTCCTCAAGGAGTTGCTATTGTCATAAGAACAGCTGTAGTTCTGGTTTGTCAAATCTAAATATTAAGAAAATAAAAGTATGTATGATATTAAAAAAAAAAAAAAAAAAAAAAAAAAAAAAAATACTAATGCATGTTGATTACTCAAAAAAAGTAGATTACTCACATATCAGTCAATTATTTCTTCCTTTACTTTTCCTTGGCTTTATTGTAAATGTTGAAAGTCACACATAATTTTTTTTTGTTAGCTAGCTAGTCAGTAGTGTCCATGTGTTCCTGTTACGAAGTCTTGACAGTTGTCGGAATGGTTGGATCATTTTCCAGCATTTATAATATGCTCAACGAGAATTAAAATATGCCTAGTCTTTTTAATAAAAAAATAAATAATTAAAATGTTGATTACTCACATGAATGTTGAAACCCTAGAATGCAAATTACCTCTTAAATAACTTGTTAAGCTTAATGAAAGCGCACTAACGCACAGTACACCCAACTACACATAAAAAAGCAAAATGTATTGCTTAAAACATTAATCACCTCTTAAACCATACTTTTTTGTAGCTCGTTTTGTCTTTTTACTTAGTGGTAGGTCCAAACAACGAGAGAGCAGCAGTGTTTCTTCCAGGCATCTCTTCGGGGGGGGGGGGGGGGGGGGGGGGGTCGGAGAAAAAAGTCTGGAAGAAACTGCGAGAGAGAAGGCAGCGTATATATATATATATATATATATATATATATATATATATATATATGTATATATATATATATATATGTATATATATATGTATATATATATATATATATATATATATATATATATATATATATATATATATATATATATATATATATATATATATATATATGTATATATATATATATATCTGTATAAGGCGATATACCCAAAAAACAGAGTTCAGTGGCTGGAGTACTTGGCTTCCCAGGGACCACACATGAATAATATAAAGGAGAATGTTTAGAAAATATTTACTGAAATCTTTAACCAGTAACGTCGTGCATTTCAAATTCTTCCCGTAATGTTCGCTCTATCAGAGTTTCTTACAGGCATCTCTTCGGGAAGGGGGGGGGCAAGCCCCCCCGAAAAAATTTTAAACGCCCCCCCCCCCCCCTGAACGAAATGAAATTTATATCATTTATATAGAAAATATATACTTTTAACAGTGTCCGCCCCCTCCCCCCCCCCCCGAAGAAAGTCTACCCCCCCCCCCCCCCCCCCGGAGAAAAAAGTATGGAAGAAACACTGGCTCTAATGACAGCAAATTCAACTTCTGTTGATAACAGATAATTTTCTCATTATTACATTTACTCCGAGACTACATAAATAGATGAACAATCTCAAACAAACATCTGTAGACCAAACTTGTGAGATTATACAACACGATGGGCAATCTCAAACAAAAAAAAAGCTGTAGACCAAACTTGTGAGACTACACAACATGAAGGACAATCTCAAACAAAAAAAAACTGTAGACCAAACGTGTGAGACTACACAAATAGATGGACAATCTCTTAGAAAAAATCTGTAAAACGAACTAGGCGCATCATCTCCACACGGCTGGTACAAGCTAGAGTGTCAGGATCTCGATCGGCCTGTGACATGTGTCAGTGTCACAGTTGCCACTCTCACCTTATCTCTGCACGGTGTAAATGTATCTCATACAGATCTTTCGGCGTATCTCACTCTTAAAGGTTGCATTAGCTTGATTAGACACTATACACACACACACCACATACACCACACATATACACACGCACACGCTCGCACACACACACACCACACATACTCACACACACACCACACATACACACACAGACAGACACACCACACATACACGCACACACCCGCACACACCACACATACACATACACACACGCACACACCACATATACACACAAATGCACACATTACACATACACACGCACACACATTCACACGCAGATACAGGATTGCATCTTGAGTGTTACAATTCAGTGGTACCTTGACATATTAATGCCCCAACATACGAGATTACTTTTTTAGATACGAGCAATTCGACACACGGACATACATAACGAATAAAACTCGTATCTTTAATCATTTATTAAGCTGCAACTTGCAATATTTTTTTTAAAGTTGGATACTTTTGTAAAGCTTTTCAACTAAATAATGTAACTAAGGCTGGTAAAGTCAAGACAAGATCTACGGGTTTCACGTGGGCTAAATTAAAGAGAGAACTCGAAAACAACGAATATTTTACAGAGTTAGCTGCAGTCTTTTGCTCCTCGTGAACTTCACGAGAAATAATTCAAGTCATCATTGCAACCTGCTGAAGTTATTGAGAACTTCATTCAATTTGTTAAAATAGACAAACAGTATTATTCTATGGGGCGTGAGTTAACTTATTTCATGTCGAATTATGTAGACAGACAAATACGGCTGTGGCCGCTTTAGAAGAGGAAATACAAGTTAAATATCTGAAGAACATATTGAAATAAAGGTTCTACAAAATAAGACCCTACATCATTCAACTAAACCTCTGTAAACATTAGTTTAACGCGCGCAAACACCCAAACCGGATCAGACCGGGTCCTTCACGCCTCGTTTGGTCGGCCATCTTAATCTATTATTAGATCAACGGTCTCGCGCCCATACATTCGCTTGAGCCGGCTGGGCACCGGCTATCTATTGATAGCTGTCCGGTCTTCATCCATTTCACCGGCCGGCTCCCATCGAAAGCCCCCTGACAGCGTCTATTATGTCTACACCCCCGGGGGGTTCCAATCTAATCTCCCCGTGATATTCTTAGATATTGCCTTCAATTTGGCCGGATTTCAGCATATTGTTTTTGGTCGTGATGCAATTCTCAAGGGAGATGATCGTGGTGATAAATGAGAGTGTTGTTTTATTGATGAATTATTGAGGAATGGAAAGAAAAAATCTGAATGATGGAATGGTACTGATATTGCTGCCTACAGCAAAATTGTACAAATGTCAAATATGTTCAGAGGTATCTCTCTCTCTCTCTCTGTATATATATATACATATATATATAAATATATATATATATAAATATATATATATATATATATATATATATATATATATATATATATATATATATATATATATATATATACATATATATGGTCTCCTGTCAAATTATCTGAGACAAAATATCCCAGACAATTTATCACTGAACAAATGACCTCACCACAAATGTAAAAAAAAAGTGCTATCAAATCATTATTACACAAAACTAAAGAATGTTAAAATCGACTAAAATTATCCTAAAGACCATATATATTTTTCTGTTAGATAGGTTGTCTGAGATCAACATGAAAACGAAACATGCAAACACAAATACAAACACAAAAGAAAACACAAATGCAAACAAACGCAAACAAAAACGCAAACACAACGCAAACTTTCAAGGAAACAACGTACACGTAAACGCAAACACAACAAGCAAACTCTAACACAAATACAATCGCAAAAGAAAACACAAAAGCATACAAACGCAAACGCAAACTTTAAAAAACGCAAACTCAAACACATAGAAATAGAAAATAGAACGCCCAATAGTGTACACACACCGCATGTTTATAGTTAAAAATCCTTAGACTCATTTGACGCTAATAGAAAACAATTGTAAACCACAGCAGACTGCTGCAAAAAGAAGAGAAAGTTTCTGGAATGATGGTGTTTGCTTTATGAAATAGGCTGGAGTACTTTAGCAGCAACAATTGTTAGTCAAGTTGTAGTTTATTAAAACGGGCAACATTGTCACCAAGTTAAGTACCTGTGTACTGATACGGGCGGTATTGTCAAAAAGTCGTAAGACTGGACTGAAATAAACAAAATTGTTTAAAAAGTCAAGTGTTGGTGTACTGAAACTAGCAACATAGTCACAATGTAAAATACTAATATATTAAAACAAGCAGCATAGCTACAAAGTCAAAAGGCATTATTGTCACAAAGTGCTGGATACTGTGTTTTAACTTCGCACTCATGATAATTACATTAAGCTTATGCTTTATTGCAGCTTCTTGTATATTTAACTCAACGCTTTGATACTTTAATACGATGCGATTTATTTTGCAGGGGATAAACGTGTGTCTATGTTTGGGGTGAGTAGATTACCTGATCAATATAAGTAAATGGTGAGCAACTACTCATCACGATTTGGTTCACTGACTGTGACTTCAGGTTGATATTTTTGTGTCTTTAGTGTGACAGACAAGTCAAGTGGAAAACGTTACTAGATACTAGTCGGAGACTTGCGTGAAGGCATGTCCGCCTGCTACAGTGTTTAACTAGTGTTTAGCTCCAGTGTAAGGCTCAAGTATTTAGCTCTAGCATTTAGCTGCAGTGTTTAGCTAAACTATTTTATATCAACCGTTTAGCTTAAGTGTTTAACTCTAGTGTTTAGCTCAAGTGTTTAGCTCTAGTGTTTAGCTCTAGTGTTTAGTTCAGGTGTTATTTCCAGTATTTCACTCAACTATCTAGTTATTATTATGCGCAAACAAGGATATGAAATTGTACCTCAACTACTAATGAAGCTACAACCACTGAAAGTTAACACTGTGATAAAGTTGTAAAAATAATTAAATCTGAGAAATAATATTAAAAAAAAAGCAAAGTTTATTTTTTCAATCGCATATTTGAGCCTCGACATTTTAAAATATTGCACAAGGGGAATAATAATGAAATTTAAATACAAATATTAAAAACAAATATTACTTCCCTTGAAAATATCACAAAACGTGTCAAATAAAGGGCAAGGAATATAAACATTACTTAAAAGACTTTAAAAATAATACAAACTTACAGTTAAAAGAAAATGGAAAATATGTTTACAATATATTAATTATATTACATGCCTTACACGTCGAATAACAATGACATCGTTCCACGTTTAATGGTAAATAAAAAATGTATCAACAAAGTCCTCTGTGCGAACAAGTGCAAGATTTCAGCTTCTATATCCCGTACACCAGACGTGTGTTCTGTCTGCAGGCTTTAAGTACTGTGTCCACAGACACATTACGAAGTTCTGCGATACGCTCGGCTGTGTATAAGGCTAGGCCGGGGTGGGAGACTTTCAACTTGCTCTGTTAGGGATCAACACAAACCGGTTAAATAAATCTCTAAGTAAACATTATCAACATTTTAAAAGACTTTCAACTTGCTCTGTTAGGGATCAACAACAACAGTTTAAATAAATCTCTAAGTAAACATTATAAACATTTTAAAAGACTTTAAGGGACCAACACATACAGGATAAATCTCTAAGTAATAATTATAAAGAGTTTAAAAGGAACTGAGACACTGTAATATTTGTTAGACCGATAGTCTCGAAGCTAATTATAATTTACTTAGTAAGAATGGCAAATCTAATATTGACTTGTCATTTGCCCTAGTCAAGACAATAATCAAAAGCCGAGTTTCTTTCACACATTTTACTCTATGAGGAGGAGGGTATTTCGAGGAGAGAGATAGAGAGACGATACATAAAATATAGTATTTTCTAGGTAAATTGTATTTTTTCATTAGTTAGTGAACAGGGGCGTAGACTTGCTCCGGTGGGTTGATCGTCACGTTTCAACCCCGTTCCCCTAACCCCTCTAGGGATGACAGAAAAAAACTAAAATCTAAACCCTAGAGTGAATATTCCTAGTAACCTTAACATCATAATATAAGCCTTAAAAAACTTAATTAGTTAAGCTACTAATTGAACAAGGTAACTTACCCTAATGGCCCCAGGTACAAAGTAAGGTGCATCTGTCTCCAGTAGCAGACGATTGAGTGGAATTCTGGCAGCGACCGTCATGGGCTCTACAGCTGACTGGTAGGTGATGACAGGGGTCAGGCCAATGTACAGGTTGGTGAATGAGGTCAGCCAGCGCCTGGCTGTTTTCTCATCTCTGGTGAAACAATGGAGGTGGATGCTGTGGTCTTGTGGTACCATCTGAAGATAATAAGTTCTAGTTAGGAGAACGTTCATGAGTCCACCCAGCTCTAATGAGTACCAAACTCATGTTAGGATAAATAAAGGCGGATGGTCAAAGTGCTGACCTCACTTTCCCTTCATATACCGAGGTCATGAAACATGAAATCTACTTCATCTACCAAATGGATCTCTAGGTGTTGTTTTTACATTACAACAGTATAACAGTAAAAAAATGTCTTCTACTAATGAACCAAGGTCTACATGTTTACCCTAATGTTTACAATATATAACAATCATAACATACTTTTTACCAATGAACTAATGTATATGTAGATAGCCCTAAATTTAACCATTAATATTTGTCGAGAAATAACGAGCCAATCAACTATGGTTCCTATTGGTCATATAACCATAACCATACCCTTCGTTTAAATAATAAAATTTACTAATGAGTTATAAATCATCTACCTTTAACCCTGTATATGAAACATAAACCAAACATTACCTCCTGCATTATCTCCAGACAGTCATCATCAGCATCACGACAGTGTATGACCAAAGGCAGGTCCAAATCTAGCGCCAACTGCAGCTGAACTCTAAGGACACGTTTCTGGACGTCTGCATGTCTGTGGAATGTTCCAGAGTAATCCAGGCCAATTTCACCAAGGGCCACAACTTTTGGGCGCTTCAAAACTTTCTTCAAGCCTTTGAGGTGGCTATCTGTGAAACCTGTGGCACTCTTTGGGTGGCAGCCAAAAGCAAACCAGATGCCCTCAGTTCCTGCAACTGACTTCAATACTGTATCTCTAGGATCTGTATTTGGGGAATGGGTTTTAAAAAATTAAAAATGTTAACCAAATATGATGAACTGTATGGAAGATTTATTAATGCTATTTACTTGGTAAAGTAAGGTGTCTTAACATATTATGTACATGATGCAACATATTTATGAAATCGCACATACAAAATAAACAAATGTTCAAACTTTTTTATAAAATATCACAATGCGGATATCTCTAAATTAGTGTGTCAAAAGGGGTGCACTATGTTATAAAAAATTACAAATTAAATGGAAAATTTACAAATTATGTTGAGCTGAATGAAAATCGATCTATTGATAGTATAAGAAAATAAAATGTGTTGTGCTGAATTTGAATCTAATTACTGATAATGTTCTAAAAATGTAGACTTACATTATGCTACATTATTTAGGAAATTATAATAAATTGCGTTGAGCCATATTAAACCTAGTTATTGATGTTCTAATGAATGTATCAAAATGTATGATATACATCGTAAAATCTAATTATTACTAATGTACTAATGAATGTTCCAAAATGTATGACCGACACAAAATGTATGACTTACATCTAAAATCTAATTAGTGCTAATGTTCTAATGAATGTGCCAAAATACAATGACTTACATCTTAAAATCTAATTAGTGCTAATGTACTAATAAATGTGCTAAAACGCAATGACTTACATTGATCATCAAATGTGTTAGGGTCACAGAAGACAGCCACACAGCCCTCATAGTTGGCTGGCATTGATGCCGACACCATGGCCTTGAAGCTGGGGAAACTTGTGCCCCTGTCCAGGCCCATCTGCTTGTAGATAAAGTCAATGTGACAATGGGAGTCAATGAACTTGTGACTGTAGGTTTGGCTCCGGGCCACCAAATCCCTGCTCCATTGTTTCTTAGGCTGGGAAAGCTGGCTAAAAGACTCGGATCTTCGGTAGGAATTTCTTGGTGGCTTGTTGTTGAATGTGAGGGGGAGAGATTTAGGCGTATTCAGGATAAAGTGGGTATCAGGGGTGTAGGTAGGTTGTGGGGTGACGGTGGATTTAGAAGTGTAGTTGGGTTGAGGGGTGCGGGTTGATGAACTAGATCCAGATCGGATTTTGTTTCTTAGATCTTTTACTTCAAAAACTGGTTTCTTGTCTCCCCTGTACGAAGATCCATGACCTGAACCATAAGAATGTGCTGAAGTCGGCAGTGATTTGAATCCTTCTCGTTTGGGCGTGTCTTCACAACAATCTCCATATTCATTCCTAGGCTCATAACTTTCAGTAGATTTCCCTGTCCGGCTATAATAACCGCTGTATCTGTTAGAAGACTTTTCATTGGATGACCTGGAACGAGATTGACCGTTGACTGAAGTAGGAGGACTGTCCTCCCCACAGCCACAAGAACTTGAACTAGATCTTCGAGGTGATCGCTCGCCTTGTCCTCGCAGACTTCGAGATGAAGATGACACGCTAGAACCGCTGCTACGTCTGGACAGCGAGTGAGTCCCCCGAGCATCAGGAGATGGATGTTGGTTACGTGAGGTCTTCACGACCATCCGCTGTGGACTGTCGTCTGAGTTAACTACCTCACGTCTGCTTACTGGAGTCGTCGAGTCATAACTGCTGGGTGGTGAGATTTTCAAAACAACGCTACGTGGTGAAGTCTTACGACTGTCTCTTTTGGAAGAAGTATGTTTTTCTGAGGTGGATTTGGGAAATACCTTATCTCGTGAGGACAGTGATGCTACACGAACGCTAATCGTTGATTCAACATAGCGATCGTCTGTTGATCTCGCAGTTTTAAACCTGGGCTTGGATTTAGTTGAATGTGAAGATTCTTGTCTTTCGGTTCGCCTGTACTTTAAAGCTTGAGCACAGGAATACTCCGGAGAAGATGGTGGCGATCTTTTAGCCGAGCGGGTCAAACTGACCATCTCGCTTTTAAATTTGTCAAAACGACCTGAACCTCCACGACCCCTGGAAGAGGAAGCAGACGAGGATCGACTTCTGCCACGTGTGGATGTGGGTAGCAGGCGACGGGGCGTGTCTTCGTGTTCCATCTTAGTCGTGTAGGCGAAGCTGTGTCAAGAAACAATATATAAGTAATTTACTTAATGGGGATGGCGTGTCCTAGCGATAGAGCGACAGACTGCTAACCTGAAAGTCTCGAATTCGAACCCAGATTTAAGTCAGTAGAACGCCGTTGAAAGTAAAGACGGCTGGGCATAGTGCTGACCACACTATCCCTTCATAAACCGAGTTCACAGAAAGAGGTGAAGTTTAATTACTTCCACATGGACCGCGAGATTCGAATAGGGAGTTTTTCTTTTACTTTACTTTGAGATAATACTTCATTTAACATCATCAACACAATGCTGCACTAAGCATACTTAGTTGTATTGATTTATCACAATTTAAGAATTTTCATTACGACTATAAAACAAACATGATATAAATCTTCAAAATCAGAAGAAAACTCAATCATACTTTAAATACTACTTCATTGACAGGTTGTAAATTCGTAAACATTAAAGAATATTAGATTGACTTCCTTTTGTTAAGGCCATTGTGTTTTTAAAACTAAAGTTATACAATACTACCCCACTGTAGTTGTGTATAAAGTTGTGACACCTTAAAACTAAAAGGAAGAGACTTTTTCTGTCGAGCTTTATATAGGTATATATGACAAGATAAACTGTTTACAATATATGATTTTGCCGCGTAAAATAAATATGTATATATTTCAAAGCATCGTATTATTACTATTCAGATACTACTACGCTATACACTGGGCGGCAAGATATGGTATTCAGTATTCACATTATGTGATGCATTAGACAAAGAAATAACATTTTTAAAATATCTCAATTAATCCAATACTACCTAAACATTTTTATCTAACATGATATTAGAATACGGTACAAAGAGAATAATGTCAGACTGTAGGTGAGTTGTATTCAACACCGTGTCAACATCTAATCATTGAAAGTTGGCAAATGTTAATCACAACAAAAGTGCTACACGCTAACCCACGCCTCTATATAAGCGAGACACCACAGCTAAATCGTATGGAGGGGATTAACAAAATCACCAGTTGCGCAGTTTAAAAAGATTTTATCCTAATATGGTAAGCACTATGGAGCAGGTAAACATTGAAAACACTTGATTTTTTAAATATCGCTACGCAACAAGAAAAAGGAAAAAATTATGACATAAAAATACATCTTACCTGCTAGAACTTTGATTAATTGTAAAGCGACTGTGGGTGATCCAGTAACTCCTAGAAAGATAACGAGATGCCGTCAGATGCTGGACCGTCCGAAAAATAAAACTGCGATTTTAGGTTGACAGATAATTATATAGACGTGCTTTCGTTTTAGGTCAGAGCCAGCAAGGCGGAACGTGACGTCATAGAGGCGAACACAGGTGGGCATGTAAACAAACAGGCGTCACAAGGTGGCGCTTCGGGGTATTTTGACCAGGGGAGGTAATGCAGCGCTACCCTTTTTTGAGACGCTTGCATTGTATTATGCAAATACGGAGAACACGGATTTGTTGTGATAGCTTCATTGTGTTTCTCATCAACTTTACATCAAACGGTGGTCATTAATCATGAAGCGATTAAGGTAAGACCATCTGGACATAAATACAAGATATAAAGGTTGACTGTCGCTATGTGATAGGGTTATAATTAAGTGAGTTAGACTGACGTCATGTGGATCTACGGCAGCTGAAGTATGACGCGTAAGATATCACCTGTAGTGAAAGACCAGGTGGTGTCAGTTGTGTCAGGCCTTAAACTTGGATGTGTTATCGGTGGTGTTTCTTTTACATCTGCCACAAGCACAACACAAGGTGGAGTTTTTTTATTCAGAAATTTTGATAAGGGGTGGGGGGGGGGCTTTTGAAACTTGGTATGACGGAGGAGGGGGCAATATTTAGAGTAGTTTAAGTATATATTTTCGATAAAAATATTTTTTTTTAATTTTAGTATAGGGGAGGGGGGGGGGGGGGTGGACGTGCTCACAAGGAGGTGGGAGAGGGGGCATTTGAAACTTGGTATGACGGAGGAGGGGGCAATATTTAGAGTAGTTTAAGTATACATTTTCGATTAAAATATTTTTTTAAATTTTATTTAGTTTAGGGGGAGGGGGGAGTAGACGTACTACCCTCGAAAAAATGACTGACATACACACTATCCAAGTGAATTAAATTCATTAAACATCTGTTGTCAGTAGGGGTTGGAGGAAGGCGATCAGAAGGACACGAATAACGCCCAAAACGTACACAACTAGACTACGGGACTAGGAGAAGATACTGGCGGGTGATACATTGAGGTGTTTGGTCGACCTAACCTGCATTTAAGCCTAGTTGGTTGTGTTGGAACTATTGTAATGGTAAGCCTAGTTAGTAGTGTTGGAACTACTGTAATTGTAAGCCGAGTTGGTAGTGTTGGAACTAATGGTAAGCCTAGTTGGTAGTGTTGGAACTACTGTAATGGTAAGCCTAGTTGGTAGTGTTGGAACTATTGTAATGGTAAGCCTAGTTTAGTGTTGGAACTAATGGTAAGCCTAGTTGATAGTGTTGGAACTATGGTAAGCCTATTTGGTAGTGTTGGAACTACTGTAATGGTAAGCCTAGTTGGTAGTGTTGGAACTAATGGTAAGCCTAGTTGGTAGTGTTGGAACTAATGGTAAGCCTAGTTTTTTAGTGTTGGAACTACTGTAATGGTAAGCCTAGTTGGTAGTGTTGGAACTACTGTAATGGTAAGCCTAGTTGGTAGTGTTGGAACTACTGTAATGGTAAGCCTAGTTGGTAGTGTTGGAACTAATGGTAAGCCTAGTTGGTAGTGTTGGAACTACTGTAATGGTAAACCTAGTTGGTAGTGTTGGAACTAATGTAATGGTAAGCCGAGTTGGTAGTGTTGGAACTACTGTAATGGTAAGCGTATTTGGTAGTGTTGGAACTATGGTGAAGCTGAACCAACAACGAAAGTGTGTGTGTGTGTGTGTAGGTGGGGTGCGGTTTAGATCCGACTATAAATACAATCATTTATGTCGTTAAAATTATTAAGTTTTTGGTGGTGGATTTTCGCGAAAAGAAATCTATGGTTGTGCACTGTTGTGTGAAAGACTGGCAGAGGTCTGAACAATTTCCAAGACGACTTGCTCTCGATTACAGAGACGGATTAGGGGAAAAAAAGGGGGGGGTGGGGGTTAAAACATGTTTTTACATTGGTGAAATTACTGGAGACTGGACAGCGAAATGTGACAACCGGTGTAGGAAATGGGGGCCGAAACTATTGTTTCGGAGTGAAGAGGGGGAGGCGGCAAATGTCTCGCTTATATGGTGTGTGTGTGTGTGTGTGTGTATTAGCGTGCTTTTTTGCGTGTTTACGTGTGTGTCTGGATGCGCGAGTGTGGGTGTGCTTGTGTGGGTGCCTGGGTGCGTGTGTGTGTGTTAGTGTGTGCGTGTGTGTGTGTATATGCGCGTGCTTTTTAGCGTGTTTACGTGTGTGTCTGGATGCGCGTGTGTGGGTGTGCTTGTGTGGGTGCCTGGTGCGTGTGTGTGTTGGTGTGTGCGTGTGTGCGTGTGTGTGTGTGCATGTGCCTTTTTTCCCGTAACCCTCCTGTCAAGCACCGACGTAAAAAAGAACATCAGTAATGTCGACACATTTCTCAACCACTTTAGTCCAGCAGGCTCGAATCGAGTAAAACTCACCCCCATACAGGCCGAGTTGTTGACACTTGGCCCAGGCGCCGTCACAAACAGTGTTTCTTCCAGACTTTTTTCTCCGGGGGGGGGGGGGGCACTTGAAATTTTCAGGGGGGCAGTAAACTTTCTTCGGGGGGGGGGGAACAGTGAAAAGTATATATTTTCTATATAAATTATATAAATTTCATTTCGTTCGGGGGGGGGGGGGGGGGTAAACATTTTCCGGGGGGGGGGGGGGGGGGGGCTAAGACCCCCCCCCCCCCCGAAGAGATGCCTGGAAGAAACTCTGGTCACAAAAACGGGGATCCCATAATAGAAATCATTGTCATGTTACATGGCTATAACTTTTTATTACCTCTTTTCCCTCTAGACGAATAAGCAATGTAGGTAAAAAAAATGTGCCCATAGACTATCGTTCCCTCTTTCTAAAAATCTTTTGATTGCAAAACCTTTTGCTGACAATAGTGTCAATTCGCGGCTAAGGGAGACCATTCTAATTATCATGAACTATTGATAAAGAGATAATAGTTTTAGAAAAAAAGATAAGAAGTAGCTGTTTTAATTTTAAGTTAAATGTATGTATCCTTTAGTCTTAATTTCCTCTTCAATATTTTTTGTACGTGTGTGTTATCTGTGTGTGTGAGTGTGTGTGCGGGTTGATTCAACTACTTGAGTTAATGATGTTGTAGAATAAAAGATCGCTTACCCCCCCCCCCCCCCCTCCATCCGGCCTTCTTTACAATCTACACGGAATGAAGTTCCATTACTTATGAGTGCGTTTGTGCATGCGTTAGTATATGTTGATAAATACTTTCACCTATTTAAATTAAATTTGCTTCTAAGCAGGGGATACGTTTCGGCTATAAAATGTTTCGTCCCATTACCAGGGAAGAAAACTCATTTATATCTCTTCAAAATGCCTATTCGCCTCCCTTGTTTGTTACTAAAAGATTTTTTATCAATTGTGAACTGGCGAACATAGTTTTCACAATATATGATTCGTAAAAACAAACACTAACAAATAGTATAATGCAGGACATTTTAGTATCTGACGTGCATGTGTATTAAAATATATTTTAAAATAGGCTGATAAAAAATGTAAAATCACATAAAAATTTTGCTTGTAGAGGTAAATTACCAGTTTTTAAATTATTTTTTTTTTATTTTGAATGTAAATGCAATTTTTTAATTGAATATGATAAAACAATCAGCTTTTGAAGGCAGTTAAATATTTTTAGATTTGAGGTTGGTGCTACACAAATTATATATGAATTATACTTCCGGGAAAACCCAGCATTAGAAAAATCTAAAAATAGATGTTCGTCAGTATAATATCATGTTTACGTGTCTCCAACTTAGTTGTGCGCGGTTCCGCGTCAGGGTTTATAGAATTGGGTTATATATATATATATATATATATATATATATATATATATATATATATATATATATATATATATATATATATATATATATATATAAGAATAATTAATTTTAACTTCCAAAGGCTAATTATACTCTATAGACATACAAGATCACTCTATATTACATTAAAACGGTTAAATGTACGGTAATATTAAGTCATGAAACGGCTAACTATCAGCTTAGTATAACTTGTATAACTTTTTCCACTAAAACTTCATTAGAAAAAACAAGCATAACTAAATAGATATATGTGTATGTTATGTTTTGGTGAACATATGTGTAATCAAATGCCCTTCCAATTGTGCCTATATTAAAATTGTATGTTTTAACAACTTTTTAGTTAACTCACTGTCGTTCTGTCGGCAGTCTGTCTGTCTGTCCAGATCGAAACGCCCGAGCGAAATTTCGGACATACCTAACTGACAGATTCTTTTCAACTTTGGGACGTAGGTCAAAACATGTAGACAATGCAACATGACATCAATTTCGACGTAATTGGTTGCCTAATTATTTTTTTATGCATTAATTAAAAATGTGTCCAAATTAGTAGGGTGTCTCATCAAACTATTCCGCACTATTAGACACGCGGCATCACGTTCATTAGGTGCGCATTGTTTCTAGTCATGCAATTCTATTGTAAATTAAAGAAAAATTAATGAACTGAGAAAAATTCATTAAAAAAGCGTTTTAATAAAAAGCTTTTATGTAATAATGCACTAAAAAGTAGAAAATAAATTATACACTACTATTTAATTAACTATAAAGAAAAGCGTGGGTCACTTCCTAAATATTAGTAAAGGTATCCAATAGATACTAAAGTGACCCACGCTTTTCTTTATAGTCATTTAAATAGTAGTGTATAATTTATTTTCTACTTTTTAGTGCATTACCACATAAAAACTTGTTATTAAAACGTGTATTATGAATTTTTTAAATAGGTTTTTATGTAGGCTTAATTGCAAACAAAAAATGTTTGATATTTTTTTTTTGCTATTAATTTTTTTTTTTCACTTCTCCATGAAGTAATACCTATCGAATGATCAATTTTAAGCAGCTTTGTTTATTTGTAAAGAAAAAAAATCAAGTTACTTAATTTAATGTGCATGGATATGCGAATAAATGAATGCATTAAACACTAGTCGGTTACACGTGAATTATTACAATGTAGAACTACTTATTTGCATTCACGAAATATACCTGCTATGAAGCACAGATACTTATTGAAAAAAATTAACATTATCCTCTTTCTCAAAGTATTGTTTAGACAAAATAACTATTATTTCACGTTTTATTTATTTAAATTCGTTTTCAGAATCAAAATGACTTAACTGGGATAAAAAATAATAAGCAAAACATGTGGTATTTCACAGCACCTAATCAACTTTCTATTTTTTTAAGGGTCGATAGATATTCGTCAAATACGATTGTTTCAAAAATGCAGTAGATCTATATCTCTCCATCGGGCGAATTTTAGTCAGTCAAAAACACAAACAAACACCCGGGTTCGAAGGCACAGAATCATTCATTCATTATGTAAACATTGACAATTTTTAAAGCCAACCTTTGCAAGGCAATCTAACAGACAATACAATATAATGCAACAGCTAATATCAATAAGAAACAAGTGTTTTATTTTAAAGGAAAAAGAAAGAAAAAGAAAAAAAGGAAAATGGCACATTTAGTTTCTTTAATGAATTCACTTTTATTTTTATTCAAAAGAACGTCATCAAATATATTACACTGATAACACTCAATATACTACATATACGTATATATGTTTGTGGGTATATACGAATGTCTTACTATTTCAACTCTAAAGTCACAGATAGTTCACCGCAAGCATTTTTATTTCTATATAATACTACATTGTATTCACTCAAAGAGATTTACCCAGATTGTACAATGGATAATCTCCAACACACAAACAACACAGATTGTATCTATTGCAATGATACAATTGTCGCTAGACTCACACCATAAACGCTCGGACAATTCCTCTGACGTTGACCCGGCAGACTGGACAATCTCTCATGGCCGAAGCGCAGTCTGCACACGACGATAGGTGACCACAGGGCAGAAAGACGACAGCCACCTCCTTGTCCATACAGATCTTACACACTGTCTGCTGACGTAGCTGGTTGTTCTGTTCTTTAACGACTCGGGTTTTCTCTATTAAAACATAATTTAGATATATAAACTATTTATTTTTTAAAAAATAAAATAATTTTTAAACAATTATGAATCGGAAAAACTGAGACAGTAATTGGATTTTAGCGTTTTACTAACAAACATTCTTTACATAAGTTAAATCTTAGGAAAAACAAACTTCAGTAGTTTTATTAATTAACAGGTTTAAACGGATATATTATCTTGTTTTTTTTTTTATTCTCTAGACAACCACTATTCTAGGCGAGACAGCTCCAAAATCAAACAACTGCTGTAGTTTGTTCTTGGTTTGACAAGATTAAGAACAATGAAAGCAAATACAAAAAGAAAAGCAGGTTGAAATCTGAGTCAACGGCCTATAAAAAATGACACATAATACTTAATTGTGTTGGGGGAAATCCCTTCGAACACTAGAATTACGGACGAAGAAGAAGGACAAATAATTGTATTCCTTGTTTTTTAGGAGTGGAATGCTTATACCAACAGGATATTGCCTATGAACGCCCTAGAGGGAAGCTATTATTACAATACAATATTAACATTACGAGAATTCAACTACAACTGATTATCCGACCACATCACTTTATCTTTTGAAGGCTTTGAAATTATCATTAAGGAAGTACTACACAACTAAAATTAGTGCATAACTTAGATTTGTCTAATCTAATATGTGTAACGTGTTCTAAGAAAAAAAAGATTAGAAATGTGTTGCTAAATTGCTACTTCATGAGCGTGTAGGCCTACCTAACAGCTCCGAGATGTTGGTAGAGTTTGTCTCCCTTGTCTCTGAATGTTCCATAATGATTCTGAGTGGCTCATCATTTTCTAGTTTATCGATCAGAGTGTCAGCTGAGATAACGGAACCTAAAAATGAACAAATGAGATAAGGGGTCATCCATAAATGACGTCACGCTTTTTTTGACGATTTTTACCTCCTCCCCCCTCCCTTCCGTCACACGTCGTCACAAAAAGCCAGACCCCTCCCCCTAAAATGACGTCACACCTCAACCTACAACCCCCCTCTCAATTGCAGTTGATTTTTTTTAAACATCGATATTTTTACCAAAATCTTGTCTAAACTATTACAATTTATTAAAACAGTTATCTAAAACGCGAAATAACGTCTAAAATTCGTTTTCTAACATTGCTTTTTTATAATGCAAAAATGTGACGTCGCAACATCTGAACCCCCCCCCCCTCCCCCTCATCACACATCGTCATAAAATTACGGACCCCCCTCCCCTCCCCCCTACGAGTGTGACGTCATTTATGGATGACCCCTAAGGGAACCTAAAAAATGAACAAATGAAATAAGGAAACCTAAAAAATAAACAAATGAAATAAGGAAACCTAAAAAAATGAACAAATGATATAAGGGAACATAAAAAATAAACAAATGAGATAAGGGAACCTAACAAAAAAACAAATGAGATAAGGGAACTTAAATAATAAACAAAAAACCTAAAAGAAAAAAAAACAAATGAGATAAGAGATCCTAAAATAAGAATGAGCTGAGAGACGTATGACAGACAACTGGGACAATGGAACATTTCAGCATGAAACATTACACGTACTACAGTTAAAATAAGAAAACAGTAAAGTGGCTGACAAAAGAACAGCTATAAAATCAGACACAGAAAAGTACTTAAGTATATCAGCTAGGATTATATAATCATTAAGTTTGTCGACATCGCTGTAAGCATTTAAAAGGGCAACAGACATTATAAATGTCAACACCAAAATAGTTTAAAGGTCACCCAACCCACTTTTAGTAGACTTGTAAAAAGATTTCTAATAACGTAATCTTTATTAGTATGTTGCTATTTCAGTTTTAACTTCTAAGTAGGCGAAAACGATAGCACGACACTGTAGGCCTTATCGACTTCTACGTCACTGTTATAAATAGAATTCTTATAAAATATAAGATGTGTCTAAATAAAGATTCCGATTGTACGACAGGCGTTTAAGCGTGTCCTAATATGCGACTTAACATTGCTTTTAAGAAAACAAAGATGTTTGTTTCGTCTAAAATTAGATCCGGATATTGTTTTTAACTTTACTAATTAACTCAGGTCAACAAGTGGACCACTGTATTATCAAGATAAGAGAAGCGGCCAATAGAGGTTTCTTCACCTAAAAGTGGATTATCCTGTTAACTTTCAACACAATTAATGTAGTCATAGACATTCCCATAAATATGAAATGTTGTGTTAAACTAAGTAACAACTTAGAAATATTTTTAGCAACCAGGATTCATTTACTTATTCATTCATGTAAATAGCGGATGCATTAGGTAGATGTGAAGAATCACTTGTAAGTTCTCTGGGGAAAAAACACCTATAAGAGACACACGGTTCTTACTTAAAGAAATCAGCCATTAAATCAATACAAATTTGTGGGACTGTGTGGCCTAGTGGCGGAGAGCTAGTCTGCTGACCCGGAAAGTTGAATGCGGGTTCAAGTCCGTAGTAAGTCCCTGAGTCCACTCAACTCGGTTGGTACATTAAATCACAAAAGCGGCTGGTCATAGTTCTGACCACGCCATCCCTTCATATGTGAACGGGATGATATTAATATATAAAATCAAGGTTTGAAACGGTGTTGTGTACGTTTTATATTGTTACACGAACTGCAGTGTTTTTAGTCGAAAAAAACAAGACACCTCAGTTAAAATGTGCAGGTCTTGTACAGTTTAGTTTTACAACACCATTTAACCCTGTATCAATTGACAGACTTGCGAGGTAAAAATACAATAAACAACGCTTAGCCGACCCATCTTACATAGAAATAATGGCTAACTTATTATCTTTTCTAAATACATTTAGTGTTAGGGTATTTATTTGTAAAAATAGAAATCACCCATTAAACATCAACATGCAACATCTACCCCACATCTACCCCACATTCCTAGATTGGTAAATGTGTACGATAATGTTGATATGACATTTTAGAACAAAAAATTAGATGTTAAATTTGAATCGACATCAATTAGAAATTTTTCCAGATATTGTTATTGTAAATTTACTCATAACCGGTTGTTACAATAACATTTACTGAGCGGTAACACTCTTTTATGATCCATATAGGGCTTACCTTCTTCTTTAATTTCAGCTGCCTTTAGTAAAGCATCATCAATAGGGAAGCCCATATTGACCACTGTGACAACAGCTGGGTCCCTTTTGAGTGTGTTTTCTTTTGGACCTGATGACAAGATTCAACATTGATATTTTTGTTTCTAGTATTTTATATTATTGTTAGTTTAACTACAGATGTTTAGTTAAAATAATTAAAGATTTAAACCTTATTGAGACACCAAGCTGATCAGAAAAATCACATACTTATATATGCTCCTAAGCTTGAGACACCTATTTTGTTTAAGACCATTTGCAGTGAAATCTGAAACATTATAATTAACATTTGAGCAAGTTTAATCACAACCAAAGATAATCTCCATTATACAATTATAAACACGTTTTTCATAAGCAGGAAGGAACAGAAATAACATAAACCTGATATTATCTCAGGTATCTCTTGAGGAGGCACTGCCCACCGCTCCACTTCCACCCTCCACCCCAAGAAATAGTCAAAATGGATAATTAATATTTAAAGATATATTTTAACCAGTGTCCGGCCCGCGCTTTAAGTGCGCCCCCCCCCCCCCCCCCCCCCCCACGGTAGAAAAATGTCTGAAATAAAGACTGCCATTTACCGTTAAGTGTTCAAAATCCAAAATAACATTTAACCTATTGTATTCAGCTTTGAAATACTAAAAATGTATGCATTTGCCATCTGAATAAAACATACCTTGTCGTATTCAGAGTTCAGTGTGTGTACTGCATCCACAAAGACTTGCCCCATCTGTTGACGTATGAATGCACACTTAGGCTGCGTTTACACTACACGTCGGCAGACCGAATTTCTGTTTCTGGCAACAAGGCCGAACAACTGGAAAGCAAACAAAAAGTATAATCCAGTACTGTTGGTTACACTAGATCCGAACTCATCGTCCGAGTCTTCAGGCACCTGATGATGAACTTAAAATTTTGTTTCTGTTCTGACGGAAAACACATTCTGATGAAAATTTATCTGGCAGGGATAAACAAAAAAAGAAAATGGAGGGCTTCAGTACAAATAACGTTGTTGTGGTACTTGACACGGAGAAGCTTATTTTACTAGTTCAAGAGAGAACGCCACTATGGGATACATCGAACCCATGCTACCACAATAGAGACATCTCAAAAAAATTATGGTCTGAAATAGCTGATGAACTCGGATGTACAAGTTAAGTAACAAATTAAGTCATTGTTGTGATGTGATTCTAGATCTATATTCATTCTATTCTAAATTTCTATACTAGGAATCTAATACTTAACTGCTTAACTACTAGAATTACTAGATCTAGATCTAGATCTAGATTCTTGCTTACTTTAGTTTAGACTTTTAGTAGACTAGCTTTAGACTTTAGCGGCTTAGCCCCACTTTTACTAGATTCTAGATCTAATCTAGATCTACAATCTACTAGATTTAGATCTAGATTTTAGATCTAGAATCTAGATCTAGTAGATCTAGTATTCTAGATCTAGTACTAAAAGTCTTCTAGACTAGATCTAGTGATTGATTCTTCTACTCAACTCAATTTTACCACTACTTTTGAATCTAAATCTAATATTTAATAGTTAATTAGTATTAGTATTAGACTTTAGACTAATACTAGTAATACTAATTAAGTATTATTATTTACATTTAAACAAGGTAGTCTAGTAGAAAAGTCTTGATAGCTATCTATCTACTCTACTAACTTAACTGAACTTAATACTTAACTAAACTAACTAAATGTAACTGATGTAACATGTTGCCTACTCTGTCATTGACTAATCAGTGATCACTAATGAATGATTATTTACTATTTAGTAGAGAAGAGACTAATGTAATTGATTTAATTAAATTACTAATAATCAAGTAGTAAATTACTAGTAAACTAGTAATAAGTAGTAGAATTAAAATTAAATTAAGTAGAATCTATCTATAGGTCTAGTAGGCCTAAATGTAGAATATAGATCTAGCTATTTATTAGTTAACTATTTAACTACTATAGTCTATAGTTGAACATTTTAATTTTTACTGATTAGCATAGCTACTAAATATTAAATATCAAAGATGACTGTTTTATTTAATTATTAAATTAGCCATTAGCTTATGTAAACATTTAATTATCAGCCTGTAGAAAGAATGGTGTCTGAATTCAGAAATAAATATATTAAATGGAAGTTAAAAGCATATAATCTAAATTGTTTTGTTTGTATATTTCAGTGTCACAAGCAAAAGCCAAATGGCAAAATTTACGAGACACCTTTAGGAAAGAGCACACAAAGAACATAAAAAAAGTAACTGGAAGTGCAGCAGCTAACACTAAAGTACCATGGAAATACATAAATCAATTAGCATTTTTAAATGATGTTTTTGTTTCTAGACCAATGCTAAGCAGTTTTCCATATACATCAAGTTCTGAATTTAGTGAAACTATTGTGGCTGAAATAAATTTCAACAATTCGGACTCACTGGACGAAGCTGCTGTGCGAGATCCAGAAATAGTTCTGCCAATTGAAAAACCAAAGCTACAATGCAAAAGAAAGGCAGACAAAGCTGACGCCATTAATCAGTTGATAACATTAGAGAAAAAGAAATTAGAACAAATTGAAAAGATTAATGACAAACAGGAGATCAAGAATGATGATAACTACCATTTCCTGATGAGTTTATTACCATATTTTGAAGATATGCCTAAAAGAGTGAGCTTGTTAACAAGGATGAAGATACAACAAGTTATTTTTGACACAATTGATGATGCAGACTGTGAATGAGCAATGTGTAATGATTAAGAACTTTGTATGTTATCTGTTATTACATAGTCTTCTTTATTCTTGACTAATGTTAATTATTTGAAATTACAAACATGTTATTGGTTATTGAGTCTAATTATATAAAAGTATTTCAAGTATGCAATAATGCTACTAATTTGTTTTATTTCAACTGAATCATCAGTGTTGTTTCAAAACAGTACATTTGATCTTGTGATTTTGTTATACGGGTATTGCTAGAAACTGTATTATTTATTTTTATTCATTGACTTGTTTTTGCTATTATTTATCACTTTGAAATCATTACTTTCAAGTTTGTTTATGGTGAATTTGTGATTCTACTGATATCCAGTTTTTCACTACTAGCTTGTAGTAAGGCTGATGTTCTTTTAACTATTACTTGTAGCCTTAACCATGTAGTCAATGTAAATTATTATCTAATAGTAGTACCTGTAGACTACTAACTAATTAATAATTGCTATAGATTTAACTATGTTCTCATGATACTGTATTCTTAACTCTACTAATTTTTATCCTCATGGTAAAAATAATAGTTTCATTCAAAAGTAATAAATTTGTGGGTACATATAATCCATCAGAAGTTTAAGACCCTATTTGTTATTTTGATAAATAATACGGGTCTGAAATAATGTATTGTTTCATTAATTATTAAAGCTTATTAAATTAATTACTTGATTTTTTGTTATGGCTGTATAAAAATTAAATGTGTTAATAAATTTCTTTTTATTTTATTTAAGACATCTTCAAATGCAGTCTTAAACTTATTTTCTTTTAATGGTAAATTGATGAATTGAAAGGTGTGTTGAAGGATGTTACCTAATAAGAATTCAATGCTAGCTAGAAGGTCTGACAAGCAAGAATATATATATATATATGGTAACTTGACCAATGGTCTCTATATTTTTATGTATGCCAAATATAAATAAAATATAAACAACAGTAGCATAACAACCAAAGAAGTTTATTTCAATTAAATACCAGTGGCATCAAAACTTAAAATTGTTTTATAATATCTTAGATAGTGTAAGTATTTAGTTTATCATATTGGAAGTGTACAGCTCCTTCAGCATTGAAATATGCTTTGAACTGATCTCTAATATTGTAAGCTTCTCTACCAGCTCTGTTATAGCGTTTTGATTTAACACACTCTGCTGCACTGGTAACAATCTCCAAATTTATATTATGCATCATAGTTTCATTAATTCCCTCTTTATCTATAATGATATTGTGCAACAAGCAAACAGCAGTGACTAGTTTGTCTATGTGTTTTGGATCAACTTGTAACTCTGTCTTTAGACATCTCCATTTAGCAACTAGTATTCCAAATGCACATTCTACTGTACGTCTGGCTCTACTATGCCTATAATTGTAAACTTCAACATCATGTGGAACTGTTGCTGGACCTGAGCTGTAGGGGCGCATTAGGTAATCCTTTAAAGGATATCCTTGATCTCCTAGTATAACATAAGGAAGATTAAAAGTGGTCCCAGGTAATTGTCTTGCTTGGGGGAAAGGAAACAAACCCATTTCTATCTGTTTATAGAGATTTGACTCTATAAAAACACCACTGTCACTTTGCCTTCCATATGCTCCAAAGTCTACACTTAAAAATTTATATCTAGCATCTACCAATCCTTGAAGGATGAGTGAGTGAAAAGTTTTATAATTAAAGTATTTTGAACCTGATAATTTAGGACATTTAATTCGAACATGCTTCCCATCAATGGAACCAACACAGTTTGGGAAATTCCATAAATCTTCATAGTCCTTGGCACATTGCTCAAGCATTACTGCTGTTGGTACTGGCATATGCTTTTCAGTGAAGCAGTTCCATATAGCATCACAGGTCTCATAAATAATCTTGGCAATAGTTGAGTGGGCGATTCTATATGAAAAGGCCAAAGATCTGAAGGCTAATCCAGTTGATAGGTATCTGGAAAAGAAATTAATCAAATTAAACACTAAAAGCAGGTAATGACTGTATTGATCTACTCCCCACTACTAGGACATTCCAACCTAATTTAAAGCTTAGTTATTGCTTTTTTAATGTATAGAACACATCTGTTAACTATGGTATTTAGTGTATTAACAGTACTACAGACACTTGCCTCAATGTCACCGCCAGGCGTTCCTCTGGAGAAATGCATTTCCTGAAGCTACTCTGTTTTTCTATGTACGGCCTAATATTGTTGAGTATGTACTCAAAAGTGTCCCTGTTCATTCTAAAGTACTCGTAGAATTTCTGGGGCTGCTCCAGCAGTTTTGGAAACAAAGTGTGAAATTCGCCACATTTTTCTCTTTCAGCAAATATAGGATTAACCCATTCCTTTTCGTTTAGTAATAAAATCTTGAGAAGCATGTTTTCTGCTAAAAAATGAATCTTCATTTGGTCGTCCATTTTTGTTTTGAAAACAATGCCTGCCGGTAGTCAGACATACGTTCTGACGGGCTACAGTGTAACCGCTGGGGCGCACCCCTCTTCGGCAGATTGGACAACACCTGACGTCAGATGAAAAAATTCGGTCTGCCGACGTATAGTGTATCCGCAGCCTTAGGGAACCATCTGGCATGTTCTACCCACACGTCATCTTCATCTTCCCAGTTCCTCAGACCCCCACCACAGAAGAAACAACGGGCACAGTCGCCGTAACCTTGAAATTAACATGTAAACTATTAGTCAATGTGAAAGTAACTTTTTTTTTCAAAATCAGGAATCTTAAATTAAGATGAAGCTATATTGATTTTAAGTGACGTTATCGCAAGGACTGAAATCAAAAATGGAATTCAACATTACATTTTTAACTTTTACGTTATTGCAAGGACTGAAATCGAAAATGGAATTCAACATTAAATTTTTAACTTTTACGTTATTGCAAGGACTGAAATCAAATATGGAATTCAACATTAAATTTTTAACTTTTATAAAAAAAATTCAAAGAAACTGCTTAAATATCAAGTATAAAAGAATTCAAAAGCGATAAAAGATGAGTTACATTCAATATAGCACCTGAGAGTTAACAACTTTACAGACCAATAACAAATGGTCACAAATGATCTCAAACTCATAATACAAGTTCTGAGAATACATCTTTCGCCTGGAAAATATACAACTTTTGGCTCATGATATATACCTTTCGCTCCCCCCCCCCCCCTTTTAAACAAAAAAAATCTCGCCTTCTTATAATACAACTCTCGTCTTCATATGATACAACTCTCGTCTCCACATGATACAACTCTGATCCATATCATACAACTTTCACCTCTGACTGACAAAATAATTGACCAACCAGCATAATAAAATCCAGCAGAAGCCAGTTCGTCTATCGACAGGTGATGTCCTCTGGGCCAGTTCTCGAAGGTCTCCAGTCGCTTGATCTTCAGGGCGTATTCGATTCTCTTGGGTCTCTCGGTGATGATGGCGAGATCTCTAAAAGTGGGAGCAGCGCCCCCTGGTTTCTTTCTTCTTGTGGGGGCGTGGTCTACAACACCTGTTGCCTGATTGGTTGGTGTGGTGATGGCTGGAACAACTTCTGTGGCGCTGTGTTCTGTGTTGTTAAGGGCGGTTGACGCAGGTGTATTGATGAGAGGCTGGGTTGATTGTGTTACGGTTGATTGCGCTACCGTTGATTGTGTTAAGGTTGATTGTGTTACGGCTGATTGTGTTATTGTTGATTGTGTTACGTTTAATTGTGTTACGGTTGATTGCGCTACCGTTGATTGTGTCACGGCTGATTGTGTTGAAATTGCACTCTGTGAGCTGTGTGTTGAAGTTACAGTTGTTGCTGTATCATTGCTAGTAACAGCTCTTAATGTTGTATTTGATGTCAATCTAGATGAGTTCGTTGAAACTGGGATTGAAGTTCCAATCAAGCTCGACTGTATTGAATTTGTTATCAAAACGCCATTTTGGGTTTGATGTGAAGTCGTCGCAACTGTCCCTCTTGTCTCGAGTGAAGGTAAATTATTCTGTGTTGGATCTCCGAATCCTGGCGTGACTTCTTGAAGAGAAATAACAGCGGCGGCGTTCAAAAGACTTTGTGCTGATAAGCTGCAGGTGATGAAAGGCACGTTACCGCAGTTGACACCTGTCACCATACAACACCCAGGTGAGATGGCAGCGTGCACGTCTCGCACAATGTCCAGAAAGTTCCAGCCACCCTTGGTCACCCTGCAGAAGTAGCAGGTCACCGAGTCGTCGTTATTGCTGCCACTTCCGGTGTAAACAAAACCATCCGAGGCTAGCTCGGCAGCACATTTTGTACAAGAGGACGGGTAAGTACAAAAAGTTGACAGTCTGTATTTTTCTTCTCTGTAGTAATGCCACGGGAGACGTGTTTTATTCCATCGTTCGACAATATTTTGCATTAGTAGCTTTCAACAATAGAATCGCAACAGTTTCATTTATTGTGTGGACGCTGGTTGTTCAAAGGGTGTTTATCAAATATATAATTTAATTTTAACGGGTAGAGTTTGTTTTGTTTATTTCCTAGAAAGCAGACAAAATATTTTTTTTTATAAAGTTTAAAACATTTTTGTAATTGGCTAATTAGTATGCATATGTGTTTATTATTCTATATCCACGCAGGTATTTCTCTGTTATATTCAGGTTGTTATATTTTAATGCTAAACTTCCCGGCTGTTAGGGGTCATTCATAAATGACGCCACGCTTTTTTTGGACGATTTTTACATCCCCTCCTCCCCTCCGTCACACATCTTCACAAAAAGCCAGACCCTCCCCTAAAAGGACGTCACACCTCAGCCTACAACCCTCCCCCCCCCCCTCAAAATTGCAGTTGTCTGAACTCTATCAACATAGAGTATTTTAATCAATTCCTATTACACTTTATTAAAACAGTTTTTTTTAAAAGTCTAAATAAAGGCTTAAACTTCTAAAACTTCTTTTTTATAATGCAAAAGTGTGACGTCACACCATCTGACCCCCCCTCCCCTCGCCTTCATCACACACTGTCACAAAATAATGGACCCCCGACCCCCTTATCTATACATTCGTGTCGACGATAAGTGACAATACTGATAATGGTGACGTGGAGCGCGAAGTTAAAAATATCTGCTTTATAATATCAAGCAATACATTTCTGATTTCTTCACAACCTCCTATGGCATGTGTGTCAACTAAATAACATCCTTGTTTGCTTTTTGTGTTTTTAAACACGTGAACCTTACATTATTTTTTTTTCTCTTTCTTTTATTGTATGGTGTAGGTGTCTTATTACACTTGAAGCCTGATGAAAGTGCACGACACTCATACACTCCATTACAAAACTCAGTGTTGCTCATTTTAGTTGGTCACGTGCCAAAAGAATTATGCTCGCCCCAGCTTTCAACTGTACTCAGTCTAGTGCTTGCTGGTGCCTATACATACATAGCAGCGCTGCAACATATACAACTACAACAGAAACGCTTGTAAGCATATATATGTTAATCAATTTATTTAACTATAAATCATCATCTTCTTCATTTCCCATTCGTGTTCAGGTCAGGTAGTGCAGATGAAGTAGAGTTCATCTGTTTCAATGACCTCGGCTTACAAGGGGATAATGTGGTCAGCTAGATATCCAGACAACATGGAAAAGAACGGTAGAAGAAGAGGCGAAAACAGCTGGGTTCACATGGGCCCAGATTAAGGGAGCAGCCCAAAACCGAGTCCGCTGGAAATGTGTGGTTGCATGCAGCCCTATGCTCCCCAGGGGCCACAAAGAAGCTTCCATAACGTGCGTCAGGTACCCAACAGGGCTGGGTGGACCCATGGACGTCCTATTAACTCGAACCCAGGATCCGAACCCGAGACTTTCATATTAGCAGTCTTAAGCTCTATCATCCGACCATGTCGTCCTCAATCATACTTATCACATAAAAGTCGATAACCAAATGTACCAGTAAAAACATGCATTTCTATTTTTAGCAAATGATAATTTCACTCCGCGCTCAACTGTGTCGTGTCTGAGACTTCTATTATTCAACGTTTAATTAATTAATGCATACAGTATTTGGGTCGTGCATTAAAATTTACATTAGGTACGAATGAAAGCAACACATTTCCACACTATCAAAAATTAGCAAGCCTCTACAGTACTAAAACGAGTCTTACCTTGTAACGCATGCGAGATTAAATGACGAATTACGTGGCGCGCGAGTTCTATTAATACATTTGTCCTTCACCTCGAAAAGGGAATATCCGACCGACGAATGTTAAGCATAAAAAATGTAAACAAAGGGTCGTCCATAAATGAAGTCACACTCGTTATGTGGAGGGGAGTCCGTAATTTTGTTACGGTGTTTGATGAGGGGGGGGGATGTTCAGATTGTGTGACGTCACACTTTTGCATTATAAAAAGGCAATGTTAAAAAACGAGTTTTAGCAGTTATTTCGCCTTTTAGAAAACAGTTTGAATAAATTCTTTTAGTAATAGATTAAATTACTCTATGTTGACAGAGTTCAAACAAGATTTTGGAAAAAAAATTATCGATGTTTTAAGAAAAATTCATCTGTCATTTTGAAGGAAGGGTGTAGGCTGAGGTGTGACGTCATTTTACGGGGTGGGTCTGGCGAACGGGAGGGAGGTAAAAATCGTCAAAAAAGCGTCACGTCATTTATGGATGACCCCTAATCTCAAAATTAATTTGTTTTTCTATGTTGTATTTCTGTAATTAGAAATTCAAACTTTGGTATTTCTCTGATAGGCTGCTTGAGCATTATGTGGCCTTCATATAAGCCGTTGTAATCACAAAACAAGTTCGAACATTTAATGAGCGTTGGCGCAACTTTATCCAGACAATGTATCTTGCTAAAGATATATTAAAAATTATTGTTACAGCTACTTTGAGGTTTTTGATGCTTTAATAAAGCGTTTATGGTACTTTGACACATATAACCAAAAACTCGTACAAGTATGTTGAATGCACAGCACTATTGTGTACTTTTAATCAACCACTTCCATACCAACATGTCCACTCCAAACAAATCGGTATCTAACACAGAGCATACTTATCGCTCGACAAATGTGGTATATAACTTGCAGTTAAACGCTTCCTGTAGAACTATTTTTGAAAATAAATTAAAAATTTGAATCCAAAAGTACGTTAAGTTGACTAACTCCAACATATTATCATAATATATAAAAGCCCATGTGCGCACTTCTCTCTCTCTCTCTCTCTCTCTCTCCGCATGCCCCGAGCCTACGAGATCAGTATCTTATAAAAGAACTTAAAGATACTGGCTTTTGTTGAAAATCATATGTTGGATATTTTAAACATTGAAACTAAATTGTATTTAAAGAAAGAAAAAAAAAAAAGAATTATTCCAATGTAGAAACACATTTTTTGATTATGCAAGCGGAAAAATTGTTTATGATTGTGACAAGAACGCAATAAACAATGACGTCAAATGCCACATGCTTAAACTACGAAAAGTACACAATACTAATGGCGTCTTCTTCCAATTATAGTTTTTGAAGAAATAAACTATTTCATTTAAATTTGATTTAAATCTAGATCAAGATTCTAAAAATCTACATTTCAAGACGCACACTATGAAATGTATACAATATTCTCTGCCAAAAGTAATACAGCTTACTTAATGAGCATTGAACAGCCGGGTTTTTAACAAAATCATTTGAGTCTCTTAATCAGTGTGCATTTAATATGGTGTGTGTTGTGTTGACTAATAGAGTATATAACTTTTTTTCTAAAAAGTATTGTAGCCTATATTATTTTAAATGTGTCGGATTTTTTAGCTAATTAGTTATTTCTTTGCTTTGTCGCTAAAATGGTTCAACCTGCAGTAAAGCACATAGCGTTTTGACCAATAACTATTTTATAAAATATTTACTCAAACCTGTTTAAAACTAAAAATGTATAGGCCTATAATAAAAGTTTAACGGGTACCGACGGCTAGTAAAATATAAATCGCAATCAAGGCTAGTTAAAGTAAAAAGGTAACATCTATATGTTCTTTACTTCTCTTCTTCTTCTTCGTTCTTAATTATTAGTGTTGAAGGGGGGTCGAGATTTATCGGCCAGTGGGTTTGAACTCGAGACTTTGTTCGAATTTATCAACCATGAGCTTTTTGCCGACTCGACCACGCCTCCAACACAATTAAGCGTTACGTGTCAACTGGTTATGCGCCATTGAGGCCATTGACTCCGATTTCAGCCTGCTTTTCTTTTTGGATTTGCTTCCAACCAAGAACAAACTACAAGGCAGCAGTTGTTTTTAATTTTGGAGTTGTCTCTCCTAGAAGAGTGGCTGTCCCCAGCTAACGAGCCTCATCTGCCCGAGGGTTCGAACTCGAGACTTTTCGGTTTAGCAACCATGAGCTTTACCGACTCGACCACGCCGACCCCGTTCTTTACTTCTAAATTCGTGACGTTACGTAAAACAGAATTTTTCGACGTTCGAACAAAAAGTACCTACACAACGTGACAATGTGTGTGACATCGCTTCTCATTTCTTGTGAATGATGGTGTTTTCATAGTCACTTGATTTCAAACTGGAGTCGGTAAATTTAATGAAAAAATATAAGGAAAATAAATTCATTTAAAAATCTGTAAAAATAAATCTGGAATATATGTATATATATATATAAATATATATAAATATATATATATATATATATATATATATATATATATATATATATATATATATATATATATATATATATATATATATATATATATATATATAAATATAGTTATAATTGTGTAATTTATTCATCATTTAACAGCTTGTAATTAATTTTTTATGAACTTAGTAAAGTATATTTTCGTAACATTTCAAATATAGTACCTTAAAATATCAGCAAAATAAGCAAGTTCTCAAAAGCATGTAATACATTTACTTCACTAGAACGATGATTAATTATCTACCTCTAATTTTATGATAGTATTGAATAAACTCATGTTGCTGAAATTTCAATTTTTAACCAATAGCTCAGCAAAACCAGAAATATTTTTAAAGGTAACTTCGCGGTAAATCGGGCAAATGAGGTAGAGTTAACCTGACTATGATCTCAGTGTAAGATGAGATAGCATAGTCAGTTCTATCTCCAGATCCTTAAATTATTTAACCTGTGTTTAGAAAATTAAATTTTAAGTGGATATTGTGTTGTTTTTTTTTTCTATATTTTTCAATTCAACATCTGAAACATTTTAAATACTTTGCCATGTTCGACACATAAAATTAAGTAATAAACAGCAAAACAAAGTAGCAAAACAAAGTTTGGAAACAATTTTGGTTGTCATGGAAACCCGTAAAAACATCGGCCATTTGAAATTTTGCAGCACGTTTAAAAGCGCTAAAGCTTTTTTTTTTTATTATTCATGTATTTAAAGCAATCAGATT